GAGAGAGAGAGAGAGAGAGAGAGAGAGAGAGAGAGAGAGAGAGAGAGAGAGAGAGAGAGAGAGAGAGAGAGAGAGAGATGACTTTGGTCAGGTCTGAGTTCCCGTCTTAGATCTGGTCCTGGCTTAGATCTGTTCTTATGCAGATCTGAATAACTTGACAGTTTAAATTTTCATTTTTCATATGAATATGAATTAGAAAGAAGCCAACCTTCATAGCTCAAAGTTCTGTTTCTTTCTGATTTTCTTACTCTTTTCTGAAAGTGTCTTGGGATTGGTCTGTTGAGAACTGGTTTCAACTTTCTAGTGTTGTGTCTTGGGATTGGCCTTTGTGAATGTCTGTGACAGTACGAAGCTGTCACGTTGCGAATAGTGAAACACGGGAAGCACTAAGTTGCGAGTAACGGGAAGCACTAAGTTGCGTCCCCTTGCTCGCAACTGCCATTGATCGTGTTCATTAAACTGACGTCATTAAGTTCATTTGTGATTAGGACTGTTTATTAAATTATTACTTTCTTTTTTTCTTCTTTTTTTTCCAGTCCGGACATTTTTTGTCTGGTGTACCAGTCTGGACAGTCCATCCGGTTGTCCGGTGCCTGTGCGGATTACCGGACATCTGGACCAGTCCAGACATGTCCGGGTCGGGGTCCGCGGTTGCCATGGTACGTGCCCTTTGTCTGTTTTATCTTTTTTCTTCTTCTTCTTCTTCTCTTTTTCTTCTTCTTCTTGTTCTTCTTCTTTACCCTTTTCTTCTTTGCATTTTCCACCTCGTACTGTCGTCTGCGTCATCTTCCGTCAGGTATGTATGCTGCTGCTCGCGGGCCTGCACACCCAAGAAACACACCCCGCGCCATGAAAACCTGTCCCCCACCGGCCCCACCCCAACCACGGTATCTGCCCTTCATCTGTTTTACCTTTCTTCTTCTTCTTCTTCTTCTTCTTCTTCTTCTTCTTCTTTACCCTTTTCTTCTTTGCATTTTCCACCTCGTACTGTCGTCTGCCTCATCTTTCATCAGGTATGTATGCTGCTGCTTGCGGGCGTGCACACCCAAGAAACACACCCCGCGCCATAAAACCCGTCTGCCGGTTCAACCCCCCTGGACCGGTCCGGCCCCGGTTGGAATGGGGCTAGTTCTCGGCCCAGCCTTGAGAAGAAGAGAAAAAAGTAGTAAAAAAAGGAGAAAAAGAAAGGAGAAGAGGAAGAAGAGAAGGAGAAAAGGACGAACGAAGAAGACAAACAATGTGAAAAAAGAGGAGGAGAGAGAGAGAACGAAGAAAGAAGCAAGGAGAAAGAAGAGGAGAAAAAGAAGCAGAAGAGAGAGAGAGAGAGAGAGAGAGAGAGAGAGAGAGAGAGAGAGAGAGAGAGAGAGAGAGAGAGAGAGAGAGAGAGAGAGAGAGAAGAGGAAGAAGAAGGTTTTCTGGAAAATTTCTGCTAGAAATGTCTGCTATACAATTTGTCCAAATGATCAGGACTCGAATGGCTAATTCAGAAATGCTATAACGCATACATTACATTTACTAAGGCCTGTAAGTCTGTAACCTAATAGATCACCTTCCCATTAGGGAGGGGACATGGGATTGCGCACATAAAATGAGTTTTTTTTTTTTCAGTATTGGCGTACCGTCAGATCCAGAAAGAAAGGGAGAGACATAGAAGAAGGAAAAAACAAAAATACACGAATGAAGGATGAAAGGGTGGATTGAGCGCCCTCACCTCTGGCAATGACATATTGCTACCACTGACAACCATCTGCTGAAGGCTGGCCGACGCTGCAAAAGCTGTGTTCACTGCCCCACTAAGACAGGCATCAACTCTCCGTATGTCCTGTGTATCTGCTGACCTCCTGTTATCTTGGTGATTGATGATTTGCATTGCCTCACCACTATCCACGCCATCCATAGATGTCCCCGTTCCACCACTACTGAGCGATGCATTGCCGTGTGTGGCTATGAGCATTTGCGGCATGTCGGTCAAGTCTTCTGAATAACTAGTGCTAGAACACGGCTCCTCCGCAGACGTGCATCTGGCCAGCTTAGCGTAGCGCTGCAAGGATCGCCTATCCCTCCTTAGAATGTCTGCCTCTTCTCTCTTAAGCCTCTGAATAAATTTATGCATCTCCCTAACCTCAGCCCGTATGTGGTCCCCAGCTCCCAAATTGCGAGACTGCTCCGCCTTCTTCAACTCCTCCTCCTGCCACCACGTGCGATCGTCCATACCCGTTTCAGATGGAGAAAGAGAACTACGGGCATCGCTCCACTACTCACCAGTTTTGCAAAATGAGAATGAAATGTTCCGCTAGAACATGGAACGAAAGGATACACTGCCATAATTTTTGCCGTTTGTGCATGTGGTGAGTAGTGGAGCGAGGCCCTACGTTGTACAGCTTTGGCAAGTATCAAACGGCCGACTGCGCAACACAAGTACTACAGACTAAAATAAGACAGATTACGGCGCCGGCAAAGCAGTACTGCCTACCAAAAATCACACACCAATAAGAGTAAAACACTCGTCAGGAGGCACAAAGGCCGAGGAAGTGTAGATGCAAAGAGCATGCCACGCACGCTCTTCACCGTGATATGTAATGCCTCACATATTGTGTTCGGCATGGCTATTTTATCTTTCTATTTTGCAAATGCCATGCAGACACGCCAATACATCTGAGGTCCATGACCCCTCTCTCGACATGGTTGAAGGCAAACATCACAGAATGAATAGATTGGCAAGTCAGGGGATTACGCAATTTGTTGCATGCCTGTCAAGATGCTGACATTTCACAATGCCTCAGGGCATACTCAGACTGGGACTTTTTGACTGATTTCTAGTCGGAGTCGGAGTCAGCGACATCCAGGTCCGGCCACAACTGTGGTCTTAAAGCACCAGTACACGGCCCCAGCCATGTTGAGCGTCCGATTGAGCCTCTCCTAAAATTTTGGAGGCTAGCGCGCCATCGATAAAAGTTCATAAAACAAATCGACGGGTCGCTTTGGAGTCGTGCTCTCCCTTCGGCGGCCTCAGAAAGGGGCCCGCGGCCGCGGGCGGGCATGAACTGGTGGTTTAAAGAAAACATCTACGGAAATCCTAGTGTGTGTATGCTGTCAGTCATGTGCCAGATAGAGCAGAAGAGCCTGTCCTCCAATGCATGTAAAATAAGAAGCTAAGCTGTCCTCTAGTGTATGCTTTCAGCCACACACCCAATATAGCAAAAGAACAAGGCGATGGCTACAGAGCCCCTGTGCATGTGAAATGACCACAAAGTAGGAACTAGGTCGTCTTCCAACGGCTAAAAAAGTCAGTCAACTAGGTGGCTGTGCAGATGGAATGGACAGCTAGAATAGACCCAGCAGGAGGTGGAGAGGGCGGGGCGGAGCCAGGGGAGATGGAATAGGGAGAACGAGGAGAGTGCTCAACAGTCGTACTATCTGTGTCTGACTGCACCCGGCAAAGTCACCCGGCAAGATCCCCACTGTGCCTACCTACCATCCTGTGAAACCACAGCCAACCAGATGGGCTGCGCACGCCGGCTCCTCTTCCCCGTCTTCCCCTTCTAGGGGTCGTCTTCCTCCAGCACCTCCTCCTCCCTGTGCTGCTCTGTCACCTCCTCCTCCTCCCCCTCGTTCTCTGCCACCTGCACCCAGTCCTGCCCCCTCATCCCCCTCCTCCTTGGGCACCTCCTCCTCCTGCATGCGCTGTCTCCTCCTCCTAACCCCCTTCCTCCTGACACCATGCGGACTGGATGGTAGTAACACACAGCCATAGAGCTCAGACACACATACACACAAACACAGACACACGGCCACAAAAAAAAGGAAAAACACACACTTAGGCACTACTCGGCCGTTGGGCCCCATTGCGGGCTGGGCGGCATTATATGGCCTTTGCATGATGCTACGGAGATTGGAAGATAGCACGTAGAGCGGGTGGCATCATGTGTGGCAGGTCATACTATGTGGACCGGATAGTTCCAACACAACACTCCGATTGGGAAAAAAAAAAAAAAAAACACAGACACGGCGACACGAAAACAAAACAAAAACAAAAACAAAAACAAAAACATGGCCAACATTAGACACAATTTGGCCCTTGCCACACGCAGGTGGTACTACGTGGGCCAAGCGGTACTATGTGGACTGGATGGTAGTATGTGGGATACAGGTTGGGTGGTACTATGCAGGGCGGGTCATATCATGCGGACTGTGTGGTGCTATTTAGGCTGGGCAATATTATGCTGTTTGCCAGTGCTTGGGTGATAATAACCAGCTTGAGTGGATCGTACTATGTGGACTACGTAGTAATACGTGGGCTCGGCGGTATTATGTGGCCCAGGTGATAGTCTGGTCACTCTATGCGGACTGGATGGTACTAAGAAACGCAGCCATAAACACACACAGAGAGCCGCATAAAAACCAAGAGACACCCAGGCACAACTCCGCCCTTGGCACAAATATTTACTCTGCGGGGCGGCCGGGGGGCGGTATGATATGGCGTACAAAAAAGAACACACCCAGGCACAACTCCAGCCTCGGGGAGCACCATCTCAGGCAGTGTGGAGCGGATGATTTCGACGCACACAGCCCCACCCCCAAAAAAAAGAACACACACACAACCATGGAAAGGAAGAAAAACAACATGGCCAACATCACGCACAATTTGGGCCCTGCTTGGGTCATATTCTGCCGATCGGGCTGTACCATGTGGGCAGGGTAATATTATGTGGCCTGGATGATACTAAGTGGGCTGGATGATACTCTGTGGGTTGAGAGGCACTATGTGGGGTGGGTCATAGTATGTGGACTTGATGGCACTATGTGGGCCGTGTGGTACAGGGTGGGGTAAGTGGGCGATGCTATGTGGGCTGGGCTGCACAAATATACTTTTATCTGGAACCCCACCAGTGCGAGAAGTCGTGCCGCCGAGAAAGGAAATGACAACAACCCGACCGGAAACAACAAAAACGGCACGGTGCCAAAAAAGGCAACAACGTGCGACCACCACTAAACAGGTTCGACACTGGGGGGGGGGGGGGGGGGGGGGGGGGGGGGGGGGGGGGGGGGGGGGGGGGGGGGGGGGGGGGGGGGGGGGGGGGGGGAGGGGAGGGGGGAGGGGAATGACAACAATGCATGACCATTTCCAGACACCTGACAGCAGAAAATGACAAAAGAAACGAAAGCATCTTCCAGCGGTCCCATTTGCACCGGCACCACCTCCCCTTTGTTTTTTCCAGAGCACCATCTCCCCTTACACAAGGACCCCTTTTGCCTCTAATATGATTACGGAAAAAAGAAATAAAAGACTGTCCAGAGCTGGTTTGCTACTCTACAATAGGCTACCAGAGTGGCCCGGGTCCACTTGCCCGGCCGGGCCAAAAAGAAATTTAAAAAATAAAATTTTAATTAAAAATAATAATTAATAAAATATTTTTTAATTAAATTTTTTATTTTAAATTTGGTAAAGAACTTCGATGAGACCCTGAGGCAAAAGTTGTTCAGTTTATTTTTCTGCATAACATAGTTCTTTTTTCGGATTTTTGGATTTTTTTTTTTCTGTGGCTGGGACCTTTCTTGGTCCTTGCACGGCCGGGCCGCCCGGGAAAATAGAGTGATCCGGGCGGCCCGGCTGGTAGCCTAGATCTGATCCAAAAGACAAAAAAAAACAAAAAGAAAAGAAGAGAAAAGAGAAACCAGTTCAAACCACTTCATCTACCGTTTTCAATAGCAGGGAAACAATGACTACTCCACCGCAAACAGTCCCTAGTGCACTACCCTGGAGACAGTCAGCGGAACAGCTCTAGGAGAACCCAGGCTACCTCAAACATGCATAGTATTTGCATACGAATCAATCAACCACCCCGCCTCTTCGCCACTACCTTTCCCAAGTCCTAAAAGCAGGCCCCGCTGGACTGTGGAAATGTCTAGGTTTTCTCAGGCCACACAAATGGGCACTATTTTGTGCATGTCATCATCCAGTTCATCCTACAGACTGTGACCTAGTTTTCCCTAAGGCAAAGCTATCCCTCCAACCGATATTTGAGGCTTGGCCACAAGGCCCACAACCCCCCACACATTCATCACTCCCTTCAACCATATTGACTTTTTTTTTTTTTTTTTCATATTGACTTTAGTTAGTCTCCCGCTACCCATTGGTGGGCTTGGGGTTATTCCTGACGTTGTTTTCAGTTGTACGGTTGCCGGGGATAAGCAACCAGACTAGCACCCTCCCAGAATATAATGAAAATTTTTAATTAAAAAAATTGAGGCTTGGCTGCAACCCTTCGTAGTAGTCCTACATTCACTCAGGTATGCAATGGCTTCAAACTTTAAACCGCCAGCACAGCACACAGGAAAGAGGCAATCCACAAATTCTGGAGGCTCCCGGCTACCCGATCAAAATGGCTGGCGGCGCCAGCCAAAAGAAAAGAAAAGAGTGTCGTGCTTACGTTTCGGCAAAGCTTGGCGCACAGGAGGAATGGGCCTCGGCAAAAAGAGCCTCCAATGTAGTGGTGGTTTAGACCACCACTACCTGGGAGGCCTCTTTTTCCAGAAGTAGAGACTACAATAGGCCCAGAAATTCCCGCTGCTGAGCTGCCAGAAAAGGTACAGTACCTGGGAGGCCTTGCTAGGTCAGAAATTCAGAATCCAGAGCGACGACGGTTAAAGGTTTATTCTGGCCACTGTGTGTTTTGAAGGGCCCCTGAATAGGGAAGAGAACTGCCTAGGCAAACCAACTGAGAAAGACGCGTTGGCCAACTGGCCTAGCTCAGTGGGTTCAATGCCCATTGCCCTCACATATGTGTCTGTGCATGCTTGGTGCCCTACCATCTAGAAAGATACCCCCCCAGGACCCCAGGCCAGCATTAGCAGGACCTTAGCCAATACTGGTGGGCGCCATGCAACAATGGTGGGTAAGAAGCCACAACGAAATTGGCTATAAGATGCACCAAAGGTAGGCTGGGCAGGGGGAAAAAGGGAGGTTGAGCAACTGGCCATATCGCTCGGGCAATGTATGCTTATCCCACATCAGCACTTCACTCTCACACCAGAACTGTGGTTCAAAACCTACCCGGTGGGTTAGGAAGGGGTACGGTTGGTGGGTGTTCCCTGGTAGTGTACATAGAGTAAAGAGATGAAGAGATGAGAAAATCAAAATCATTCTCCTTCGGGACATCCGTTAAAATTGGAACGATACAGAGAAGATTAGCACGGCCCCTGCGCAAGGCTGGCACGCATAAATCGAGAAACGGCCCAAATTTATTTAAAAAGA